GTTATATGATAGGCTGTTGTTAAACTGATTCTAAACTGTGAGGGCATTGTCACATACACATAGTCCTAATGAAATACTTCAAGGTGATAGTGGAGTGCTTCGCCGGAACATTCACCTTGAAAATTCAAGATGAGGTTTTGTTCACATACTGTGGATATAAATATATTATTCTGTAGTCTATAATATTTTTAATATTAATGTTTGTAATAAAGTGCTCTTTGTTTGTTTGGTACATTTATATCATCACGTATATCATCCGACAGAGTACCTGTAATTCTTTGATAGCCTTATCCTGTTTAGCAATAATTCCTTTTCTTCTTGCTTGCCCCATTGTTAGTTTACCAATCAGCAAGCTCATCTCCTCGTCTTGCGCTTTCAAAGCCTCTTCAGTCTCCTGAGTCAGCTGTCTACGGAGCTGAATCAGAGCTTTGTTTTTCTCCTCCTCCAAGGCTTGGAGTTCGGCTTCCAATTCTTTTTCCTGTGAAGAAAACAATTTAAATAACTGTCAACCTAGCTTGATAATTTGGTTGTTTCTTTCAACTTTTGTTTTTTCTTAAACCTTTGTTATAGTTTCACTCAAAATGAATATTTTTATAGTTTCCTGATCCAAACATCTGTATATCAGTTAGCTATTTTACATAATTTTCACGTTTTCTTTTATGATGTTGTTAAATTAAGCATGTTATTTCATGTTATTTGTAATTAAAGTAGAGATGTAGGTTCGTGGGCACTTGGGAGTGAATTTTTTTTTTTTTGCTTTTTATTATCCAAATAGTCTTGGCTATAGACTGTTAAAATTTTGTAGAATTGTGAATAGTGGAACATACTCAAAAGACGATCTTAAAATATAGATAACAGGTGCAAACAATCTCTCTTTTGATTTAGCAAGGCTGTACATAAATAATAAAAAAGAAACATGGTGAAAAAAAGAAATGACGGGATCTCCATATTATGCACTATATTTAATTTTTAACAAAACGATAATATATTTAAATTTGGAACTGTTACAGCCATTTTAATTATGAGCATTAGCAAACTTCTTACTGAGTGAATTGTTATGCAAATTAGCTTCTAGACACTTTAACCTTTTGTTTTGAAATTTTCACAAATGATTGACAATGTGTTTATCTTCAAAACGCCGTCGGGGCATTGTTTTTGGTTGAACAGTGTTACAACAATCGTACAGACAACTAGCCTGTGTGTTAATTTATGCATAAACTTTAAGTAGTGAAATTTAAGCTGCTGCCCTGCAAAATTTACAACTGGTAGACAGTTTTCAAGACCGTACTTTCTTCATAGTAAACAGATGTACCCATATACCAATTTTGACAGGGAACAGAAGCATGAATTAGGAGCTAATTTTTTTAAAATCACTTTTGACCAAAAAAGCACATTTTTGTGCATATTTCAAACTACAGTGTCCATAAAAAAAAAAAATACTAACAAAATTTGATAATTCATACAATGAGCTTTCCGAAAATAATAGTTTTGTGGACTAGGGAGGTCATCTTGGTTTCCTAATTAACTAATTAAAATACCTGTCGGGTAAACTGCATCTCTACTGGGTAAGGCTAAATGAAGAATCAACGAATCAAAAATCAACGAATCAGTGATTCACGAATTATTGATAGAGAATAATGTCTTAGTTATTTTTTATTGGAGAAAAACTGCAAACTCGGCAAATTTGGTTGCACAACTTCCCTCTATCACATACACCCAGCGACATCGATGCCAGCTGACTGTGTGCGTCACGTCCTGCCTTCTGCTCCGAGCATTCCGTGAAGGAAAACATTTTGTAATTGACAGTTTTAGATTCGATTTAAACCAACGTAAATCATTAAGTGTGATAGCTAAGGCTAGCATGCATGAATGACATTTCTTGGATATTCTAATTTTTAATTTATGAAAAACAAAAAACGCTATTTCTTGCAAATAAAATAGCAATTAAAAATAGTCATTGCACGTGATTCGCTGATTCTTGATTCAGTGATTCTTCAATTGGCCTTACCCATCACTACCTTAATATTTTGAATTGCCCATTAAGGCAATTCTCAATTTAGTGAGTGTAAACAGGAAACATCATCAATAAGCAGTGCTTCGTGATGTCCCCATTTTCTTGTAACCATATTTATTTATATTTTGTGCATAATGTATTAACTGCAGATGGATACAAGAAAATAAACTTATTGTCAAAAAATTATTGTCATAATTATTGAACTATTTGCGAAATTATCAGATTGGTTCATGAATTTGATTCTTTAAGTGTAATGTATCACATTTCAGTAACTCATAGCATTGTAGCATGTGAAGGACACAAATTTGTAATATTCAAAATGGCTGACACAACCAGCCATCTTGTTCTACAACACATGGTTGAAATACAGAGCGAAAAACTGTACAAAATCATGCTAACACACCTGTTTCTTCTCTAATTTCCTAATTTCTTCTTCGCTGGCATCAGCTTTGGCGTTTAACTCTTCTTCTTGTTTCTTTCGCAGGGCTTCTACATATGCTTTTCTCTGGTTGAGTTTTGCTTCCAAACTGTTTGAAACAATTAAAAATGTTATACTCAATGACAGAACATCAATCAAATAATACAATCTCTGAAAACTCCTGCATCATGTAATGTGAGCACATTTCAATATTACCCATACTGCATTGTAGTAGACACATACTGTACTGTGGAAGACCTTTCTTCCTTGCTCCATCTTATGCCAGTAGGATAGTTTGCGAACATATATTGGAATTAAATTTATCAAGTATATGTATTCTTACATTTTTTGTTGCCTTATCTTGGTCATCTGTAGCTGATTGGTCAATGTCTGAACGTTCTGTTCGTGATTCAGCATAATTACACGTCGTGCACTGTGAAAAAAAAAAAAATTACTCAAATGTACTGATTGTTGTGTTGGTGAATGTTCAATCTGATGACAGTTAATGACTGCCTTCTAGAATTCCTACAATTAGTATTTATCTCACCAGTTTACTTAATATGCAAATTTTTCAGTAATTTTTGTAGATTTCAGTAACTATTCTTAGCTATTAAACCAAACTTTCCACTGCATACAGGTATGAAAAATTTAATGTGAACAAATATTCTTCAAATTATTTGATTCTTTTGATTGCCAAATTCAACTGTTGTCACATTTTATAAAATGAACCCATATTTTTAAAAAAGACTTAAAACTTGTAGCTAGACTAGCCCAGACATATCAATTATATATCTTACAAATCTGAGATCAGTCTATATATTCATTTTTTAAAAGCAATCACATTTGCGGTTCACCAAAATATTCATCATAGAGAATTAAAGATATCATCACAGAATGAACAAATCTTAGACAGATCCACATGAGGTACCTATATATGATTCATATCAAATCAATCAGATTTGTGGTTTTCAACAAAAAGTCAAAAATAAAAATAAGAAACATTCTCTTAAGCGATATTCACTGCGTCACACAGTGCTGTACAAAACATGAATACAAATCACATTTTTTACCAAAAATATTCATCAAAATCAGAGAATTAAGGATATCAACATGAAATGAACAAATCTAAGGGAGGTCTAACCAAGGTACCGTAAATACACTGTATACACTAAGTATCAAAGCATTCAGACTTGTGGTTTTTAAGGAGAAGTCGAAAAAGTAAAAAGTTGACGTGGATGACGACAGACAATGATGAAAAATCAGTAAATATGATTAGCTTCATTCGACAAAGTCAACAGCGGAGCTAAAAATACAAAGGTGTTGAAAAATCAAGATTTAATTCAATGGAAGACAAAAAAAACAAGTCTAGAGATCTTGCAACAGAGAAACTAGTGACATATTTTGTGATCACAGGCAGCAGAACAATGGCCTTTATAGATTGAATTGATTATTATTTAAAAAAAATGTCCAAGTACACTTACTCCTCATCCAGCCCTCCCTGTGTTTTCAATACTTTCTGCACAGCGGCTTCCTGTTGTTCTATCAAGACCTTGTTCTCAGACTGTAAACGCTTTATATCCTCTTCCCATTTTTGTTTCTTCTCAGCAATCTGTTCTTGTAATTTGGATCTCTGTCGCTTTTTTTCTTTAATCATTTTTTCTGTAAACAAATACAATCCATATATTGAACCAGACTGACAACATTGTTTGAAGTGATTGATTGATTGTATCATTAAATCATGTATGTAAATGTGTCGAAATGGGCGTAGTGCAAGTGGTTAGTGCTAGTAGCACTAATTCGAAAAAGTACTAGATCTAGTGCTAAAATGGCACTAGATCTAGCGCTAAAATGGCACTAGATCTAGTGCTAAAATGTGCACAGTGCGAGTGGCATTGTTATCGCATTGTCAACGACGTCGAATAATAGGAGGGCATCCACTTTCATATGCAAACTACAAACAGTATAAAACATCCGCAATATGCGCGAGATGTCCATAATAATACTTTCTTTATATTCTGCCGTAAATTCGCCTATCCGAAAAATCGCCCAGGGGATTTCACTGCTGGTGGGCACTTGTTTGGGGCTCGAAATTTCAAAAAATAATCATCAATTTTTTTGGGGGGACTTCCATTTCCATTGAAGTATCTATTAAACTACGCAGACTTTCAACGCCGTCAGTTGGGCCACACATGGAGCTAAAATAAGATCTTATTTTAGCTCCATGGGTCACCCAAGACGAGAAAAACTATTGCAGAATTAACAATAATTAATAGTTCTTGCTGAATTAAAAAGTAGAACACATGAAATCTCATTACAATGTCGCCCAGTGTCATTTTTCAAATACATTTGTTTTCTATTTTATTGGTAACGAAAGTATCTTCTAAACGAAATTTCAAATAAAAAAACGAACACAACTGCATTGCGTAGTAGCAAATGATCTTGGTTGCGCAATCCGGTCATGCTGCGTTTCAAAATTGTTGAATATTAGTCATTGGTGATTATAATAAGGCACACAAAATTAATTCGTTGAATTGTTATGAAATTCAAATAAAATTCAACTTAGTTTCATCGTAAACAAATGATTCCGATCGCATATAAACGCTCGATGCTGTATGGGTATCCGCCATGTTTCATTTGCATGAGTTGAGCTAATGGGTAAAATCGCTAAATAACCAATCAAAATGCTGGAGGATGCCAACGTGTTCAAATCACCATAGCTCATTCAAATAAGTTGAACGCAACGCGGAAGAGATTTGCCGATGTTGTAGTACGATCTTTTGGCTTGGATTTTGATGGGAAAATGGCATGATTTTTTTTCAAATAAAAAAATAGTTGTTTTCAAAATATGAACTGAGCATTAGAAGAATAATTTAACATTGTTCACAGTGATAACAGCTCTTTGTCCAAAACAAAGCTTACCCATTCAACGCTAGTAACAATAAACATGCTCTTGAATAAAAACTTAAATAGACCATTTTAGGCGTCAGGAAAGTTTGTAATGTCCGAAAAAATTAACGCCAAAATATTAAAAAAATTAAAAACTGCCGAAAAATCGCCCTTTTTTAACGTGACCATAAAATATATGCGCATTATGAAACTACGGTCATCACATATTTCACAACCAGAAATTCAACAGACGAACTCGTAACTTCACAGATTTCACATGTTTTAATTATTAGCAACTGTAACAAGAACACGATTTCGAGAGTCTACAACAAAAAATCCTAAGGACTCCTAAAAAATATTATTGCAGAGAAACTGTCTAGACATATATTATATGGTTAAAAAATCGGCGAGGTTATATCATATTCCGCTAACTCGTTACTTGTGTAAGCAATCGCAAACTATCTTCGACATCAAAGATGAGCTAGACGATGTCCTTATTAGGATTAACTTTGGTTGAAAGAAAAGGAAATACATGTAAGCCACTTAAGAGGCGTTGTGGCTCCTTCCGAAAGTACCTCCGTGGTACAATGTAACAACAGGATTGCGTGAATCCACTTTTACCATTGGTTGATTATGCCCGCAAAAGTCAATGTCATGACAACCAGACAACGGTTCATTTTCTGTCTGGTTCCCAGCGGTACTGATGAACAACATGCCCATTCACAGGTCGTCGTACACACACAATCCACCGAGCTTTACAGGGACCCGGGACTTAGACTAGGAGTATACAAAATTTTATTAAGTTCATATATGGCATCATAATTTCATTGAAGATCTATTTTCATTGAGTGTGGCGCCAACTAGAAATAAAACGGCACTTCAGCAATTTAAAAAAAATCAACGATGAATTCCACCATTTACATACGAGTTACAAGTTTACATACACCTGAAAGCTGAAAACACAAACTTCCACACAATACCATTTCATACAGTGTATCTATTCACAATTTGTAAAAATTGCGAAGTTTGACCTGCAGTTTTACCATCCATGGAGCTAGTTTCCCGGCCGATCGCGTTGTTTCAAAGGTCTATTACTACAAACGTGGACAATGACATTCCTGTACACTCTCAATTTTCCCACTGCGCACATTTTCAATGAATGAAAGATACAACAATTTTACGTAAATATTAATTTATTTTTGGACAATTACGGGATGTCAGTGCCACTCGCACCATATGTACATTTTACCACTAGATCTAGTGCCGTTTTAGCACTAGATCTAGTGCCATTTTAGCGCTAGATCTAGTGCCATTTTAGCACTAGATCTAGTACTTTTTCGGATTAGTGCTACTAGCACTAACCACTCGCGCTACGCCCATTTCGACACATTTACATACCTCCATTAAATCAATAAAAACAAGTCAATGACATAGTCCCTGTTGGAATTAGGGTAAAATGTTAGTCATGCCAAAAATATATGGACCGAAAGCATAGTTAGTAATTGAGAGTGATTAATTGGCTGGTCTAGTATCAACAGAAATTAGATGTCTGGCCCATGTACAGTCGTATGGTCAAAAAGCAAGATATCAGGAAGTGAACCATCTTTGATCTGATTGTGAAACTAATTGTCATTATGGACTTGTATCTTAACATGTATAATTTGAAGAGAAAAAAAAAACATGTCAACGATATATTTTGAAAAAAAAAACAAGATGGCTGCCAGTTGGTCATTTTGAATTTGAACACAAAATGAATCATTTATCTCAACATTTGAACAAAAACTAACAAATCATGTCTAAATATGCACCAACTATTATTCTTAACTAATTTCAACATACCGGCAAATCCGATAGTAATGACATCATAGCATACTCACCGTCATGTGCCTTCATGTTAGCCTCATGTTTCCTCATAATTTTATCAGTTTCCTTTTCAGACAGTCTGGCTCTTTGCGCCAATATTTCACAAAAAGATTCTTCTTGTTTTTCCATTTCTTCACTTCTTTGTGCTTGCAGTTGCTAGGAGACATGATTTTAATGATAACATTCGTAAACATGGCATTTCTTAGGTTTTATCTCGTAACCAAATTGTACCTCTGATAATAAACATTTTCCAGGTTAATAAATCCTCTGAGTGATTATCTCTGTCACTTTTCATAAAAATAAACACACACGTTTTTTCCGATTTTTAAAAAAAAAACCATAATCAAGATCTGTAGCCTGTGAGAAAATATAACCATCTGGCTTAGAGTTAACCTTTCCACCATCAGATTTTCTCAAACAAATTTTCTGCACTTTTGCTTAAAAATAAAATAAAATATTTTTCAATATTTTTGGAAATGAACCATAATTTTGAAGCCAACAGACAAAGTTTGAGTCGATTATCAGTTTTTATTCAAAAAATTTGGCTATTTTTGTCCCAATCTTCTGAAGAAAAATGCAGACTATAAACAGGACTATTTTGTGAATTTGTGATGAAAAGAGGGAACTGGTGGCGAAAAAGTTAACAAAGTTAACCACCTCTCATACTGCAGGAATCTATCTGGTTAAAATGATGTCATTCTTAATCTAAAGTCTATTATGCCTCAGCCTATATTAGTCAACCAATTACAGCATGCCTTACTAAATTAGTCGATGTTGTTTCCAGAAACTGTCCTGGAACATGAGCTCTGATTGGTTGCTGGTCCTATGAGTCATGAGCACAATTTGTACAGGTAGTTGTTAGTCAGATGTTGTAAGGGGCGATGTACACCAGTGGTCATAAACCAGGAAATGTATATGAGAAGCGACCAAAACCGCTACCGATGTCAGATTTTAATCAGATGAGTTTGATAAAGACTATTAAAATGTTGGCTCACTTTCCTCATGTTCTCCAACTCTTCTGATTCTTTATGATCCAACTCTTCAATAAATTGATTTCTTTCTTCTCGTTGTTGCTGCATCAATCCATGATAAGCCTGTTTGGGAAAAATAAAATATCCCACAGATTGGTCAGAATGCAGTCACATGATGTTATGTTGTAAAAAAACATTACATATTTGTAACAACAAGTCATTGAAAATGACACAGTCCCCGTCAAAACTTTTGAAAGTTCTCTTTGTGCTCGTCATATTAAAGCAGAGGGGTTGTTGCGAGCGTGTCCTTGAAACTTGAGTTCCAAGTGGCGTATACAACAGATTGTTTATTTACATCAAAACAAGTGTTCCATGTAGTAGTAATATGGTCAAAAATAAAAACAGCCGTTATTCGGCCATCTTTGATCTGATTATGAAACACACTGATATGTATGATGTATGTGCCAAATACGAATGAAAATGAAACATAAATTGTGGAAATATAGTAGTAAGGCCAAAAAGTCAGATGGCTATCAATGGGCCATCTCTGACCAGATTTTGAAACAAATTGTCATGGACATGCATCCTAACATGTATAAAGTACATGTATGTGCCAAATTTGAATGAAAACTGACAGAGCACGTCCAAGATACCGCATAAAAAGGACACACGGACGGACGGACTCAGGAACTCACGGACGGTCGGGGGATGTATCCTAACATGTATGACCTATGTACTAAATTTGAATGAAAACTCACAAAGCATGTCCAAAATACGACATTTTCAAGAAACAAGATGGCTGCCAGTCGGCCATCTTTGATCCAATTGTGAAATAAATCGTCATGGACATGTATCCTAACATGTATAATCTATGTGCCAAGTTTGAATGAAAACTGACAAAGCATGTCCAAAATACAACATTTTCAAAACACAAGATGGCTGCCAGTCGGCCATCTTTGATCCAATTGTGAAATAAATCATCATGGACATGTATCCTAACATGTATAATCTATGTACCAAGTTTGAATGAAAACTGACAAAGCATGTCCAAAATAAAACATTTTCAAAAAGCAAGATGGCTGCCAGTCGGCCATTTTGAATCGAATCACTAAACCACTGCATGCGCATATGTCCTACATAAAGTACTAACCACATGCAAAGAATGAACGGAATCGGTCCAAGGGATTCTGAGATATGACTCCGGACGGACGCACGGACGCACGGAGACCGAATTATAAGTCCCTGTTTTCGGACTTCGTCCGAACGGGGACTAAAAATATACCAACTGTATACCTAGACTAACCCAATACATATGCAAGGTAACCTAAAATAAACATTAAGTATAGCTAAAATATACCCAAATGAACCAAGCACATACCTAAAATATACCCAAATGAACCAAGCACATTCCCAACATATACCCAAATGAACCAAGCACATACCCAACATATACCCAAATGAACCAAGCACATACCTAAATATACCCAAATGAACCAAGAACATACCTAAAATATACCTAAATGAACCAAGCACATTCCCAACATATACCCAAATGAACCAAGCACATACCCAACATATACCCAAATGAACAAAGCATATACCCCAACATATACCCAGATGAACCAAGCATAAACCTAACAGCAGGGATCTTGTTAGCCCAATGGAAGGGCTGGTTGTTCATGAATATTAATGAGCTATATAAATATTAATAAACTTGGTCACAGTGCAAATACTTTTTTTATTCAAGTCAATATATTATGTTTCACAATAAGATTATTACTATTGAAAAATTAAAAAATTATCGGTTAAGTAAGCCAAGATCAAATAAAATACTTATGAAATGCTGCAGCCAGGAATATATTCATGAGTTCCACAGTCTTATTTACAGCAAAAACATTCTCCTTCAAATAATCAACCATGTAATTATTTGCCGGATTGTTGTAATTTAATATTTGTACCATTTATTATCAGCTTCTAAGATGCTTACATTTACAGGAATGAACGAACTAATAACACTTGCAAATGATCATTGAAGTTACAACATGACAAAACTTAATTTGCTTAATAATGCCTCTTACGCAGTCGAGCAGAGTTTTGACATCATTTGTATGATGACAGTTTCTAAAATGTATTTACCAAATCATGCAATAAACATGTTGCTTTTTCGTAGCGTGAACATATTGTGACCTCTGCTTTGACCATGATATATCAAGAAAAAGATTTTGACAGAATGTTAGCTTTACAAAAATTGAGGTACTAGTTTTACAACATTGACTAGTATTGTTTATAAGCCATTAAATATAATAACTATTGGAGAATTGTCCTGGTAGGAAGCTTTCCAGTGGTGATTGCTAATTCTGAGTGTTGGTCGAGGGCAACCACTGCCGACCAGCGTGGTGAGATTCTTGTAACAGTATGCTTTTATACACCCAATAAATTCAACAAGTACCCAACATATCGTGACATAACTTGTACCTACCTCCACAAAATCTTTTGGATCCACTACTTTGCTAGCTTTGTTGATAAGTGTTTCTTTTTGTTCTTGTTGTTTCAATTCTAGCCTCTTCATTCGTTTCTCTCGGTGTTGGGTTAGTTTCTCAGCTAAGTGACGACTCTGCCGTAAAACCTCTGTTAAAGGAACATTGCCAACAGAAATATGAAAACTAGTAGTTTGACAGTTCTAGAAACAGAATTAACCGAAAAATGCTGAAGATAACAATCCTATTGTTTAATGTGTTTAAATTCTTTATGTCCTGACTTTATTTAAAGTCCACATTTCACTTCGGCTGATGTAAATGCCTCAGCGGTAATTGTTTGAATTGCATGAGGGATACCGACAGGACAAACTTGAAAACTGTGGATTTAACTGTCTCATCTGACAGGGCGATCATTAACATGATTTTGACTTCTGTTACTGTAAATGCATTAATTATTCAAAATGTTTTAAATTTCGCTATTTCCGCTACATTAAATCTATGTGAACATGTAAAATAACAATAAAACTCATTGTTTCCTTGACAAATTTTTATAAATTAAAACACAGTGAATATGTTCAAATTATCAAAATAGTGAAAATAAATGGATTTACAGTATAAACCACCAACCAATCATACACACTTTGCATAGTTTTTTAAATTGTGATTTTGGTGAGAGACCAGAATAATGTCTGGATCAAGAATTGAGTAATCAGCACTTACCAGCCTCATGGTTTCCTTGCAAGCGTGCGGTGTCAGCCGTGTATTGCTTCATTATACTGTGAAACAGATAAAATCAGAATCAATTAAATAATTCTAACAATTTGAATGCAAGAATATGTCCAAGCTAGCGAAAACTTTTTTTCAGCGTGGTATATGTTTTTTAGCATACGTTTATAAAATTTGTTCCTGTTAAAAGTCATGAAACCACAAAATATGATATCAGCGAAAATCATCTTACAGTATTTTGTTGTATCATGTGAGACATAATGTATATCATTTATTACTCTGAAGAAATAGTTATGACATAATGAAATACAAACGTTCATATGAATATGAAAGTCTAGGTGTTTTGCAGATCCAAGTAAAGAGTTCACTGCTACAATGTGTGTTTCATATCCCACCTACGGTAATGAAAATAAAGCGATATTAACAGTTTTTAAACTTTTTTTTGGACCCTTCACTGCCAAACAGAAAAAAGTTAATGCTTTGTATTAGACAAATATTTGCACAAACATTTGGCCTGGAAAATTTCACTCAATGGCATTCAAAAGGTTAAACAGGCTTATTGCAAATGCTTCACCGCAAGATAATGTACATGTCATTTTAAGGGGATACTTTTACAAGGCTCCAAGATGGCTGCCAATACTCAGACCACAATGTGAATCAATTCTCCACTGAAGATTGATTACACTGACAATAATTTAATTTTTCATTCACAACTTACTTGTCTCTCTGTGCTTCAACTAATAGTCTATCTTCAATTAATTTGTCCATCCCCCTGTGGTGGTCTTCCACTCGCATTTGATTACTGTCTCGTTCCTGTTCACCGCTCTGTTTCCATTTCTCAGCCATTGCTTGTCGCTTAGCAAGTCTTTCTTGTAGGATCTGAACAGAGAAATAAGAAAGAAAACATTACATTAGAAAACCATGTTTCTCTCATACTAAATGTTTATTTAAATAAAATTAAAATTCACATCAAATACATTTGAGTACAGTACATGCAGTCAGGACTCACCATGGCTTGTCTGGCAGATTCCTCTCCTAGATGTCGGTCTAAAGCAGACATATTTTCAGTTAACTTCTGCATGATGGCTTCAATCTGTTTGGAAAACAAAAATAAATGTAATAAATAATTAGAAAACAACATTTAAAACAATGACTATGCCAGAATTTACGGAGTACTGATTCCTCAAGAGCATATTGTAATGAACAGCGCCACCTACTGGCAAGTTTTTTTTAACTTTGTTTTCAGGACGGTTGGGAATTGGGAAACATAGACTTACATGACACATTATTCAATACTTAATTTCTTTTCAGAAAAAATAAGGACAAAAGCCAGTTCATGAAAATCACCAAAAAATACCCTTTTCTAGCAACAGAATATATATCATATAGCCACTTGATCACAAATATCAATAATATTTTAAAAACATTAATTATCATAGATAAATTTTCATTTTTTTTGTTTGACTAATTATTGAAAGGATAATATGGACTCCAAATATGAACACTTATAAATAATATTTTTTTGTAAAATTATATAAAGTAAAGTAACTTACCTCATCTGAAGTCAGTTCAGTGTTTTGCGCCAAATCTTCTGCTATGTTCATTTGAATTCTTTTGGTCACAGAGTCCTGTAAAGGGAAGAATAAAAAGGTTGAAAACTTGATGATCTCAAATACTATTTATCCAAATGACGTACATGTGAGAAATATACACAACTACAGAAGACTGTCTATATTACCATTCTCCTGATGTAATTTGGTCTCAGTTTCTCCATTGCTTCTTCTAATGCTAGCGGATCTTTATTCAGTTTTGGATCTTGCCTCAACTCATCTATAGCCATCTTTTCTTCCATCTGAATCTTTTTTTCTTCTGTTTCGAGTTCCTGAGCGGAGAACACATGAACAAATAAGTAATCAATCTTGAAATAAAGTCCAAATTACTGAGATAATCCAGCTTTGTACAGAAAAGCCCAACAAAGATAAATCACTAAAAGTGGCAATACTAAAAAGGAAACTATCATTTAACAAAGTACAAAAAATATCTGAGTTAAAGTAAAGTTACCTTCTCATATTTCTCCATCAATTCACTCCCTTGATCTGCATCAATTTTTCCCCTAGCAACACAGCGATTCAAGATGATGGACAAAACTTGAAGGAAGGTCTGTAACAAAAATTTGGTAACAATTTTATACATAATGGCAAATGGTGAAATCATAATTATGTTTTTGTTTGATCCCATGTTTTTTTTTGGGGGGGGTGGGGGGGGGGGGGGGGTGGGCAGCACACACATCTTTGAAATGTTACTCATGAAATTTAGTTCGGGCATAACTTACTGAAACTTTTAATTTTTAAAGTGACTCTGTGAGTATCATTATCATCAAAATTTCAATTTATTCTTTGTGATATTTTGTGTATGTTACTAATATGAGACATAATTAGGCAGATGACTCTGCACAATTCAGATATATCATTATTTTTAAGCTAAGCAAGCTTGCTACCTTGTAAATGTTAAAGCACTACAGTCCAATAACTCAGGTAACCCAACAGTGTTCATTCATGATTTGCTTTTAAAAACACTTACCATAATTTTCTGGTCATGCATTTCATGTTCTAGCTCTTTCAAAGCATTAATATCTTGCAAGTTTAGTTCAAGTTCAGTTTTATCACTGAAAAATAAAAAGAATGAATAATATTGAATGGAAATTCGTTTTCAAAGCTTAAAGCGGGGGAGTCGTCACATGTGCATGCGTCAGACAGCCATAGCGTGTCGTTGTTTACAAACAAGAGTCTACCCATGATCCTTTGTGTTTTTATCATGCATTGTTATTGTCGGTTGGGACTAAATTCTCTCATGCGCACAGGTGACGACCCCTTCGCTTTAACAGAACCAGATATGTGAAAATCATCACATGTATAATGTGCATATCTCCACAGTGTGATGCAATACAGGACGAAAATGAATATCACATAGTTTGATGTCACATACATAGTTTGTTTGCATTGCACATGTACATGCTCGACTGACGGTTATTCAGAGCTTCCAGGTTTATATATGGTTCAATGACTATCAGTATGGATTGTGGTAACAATGCTTCATTCTGGCAAGCTCATGTGTGTATTTTCAAAATTATTATTCACTTCCTCCAAAATCTTGGTTGAAAGTGAATTGAAACAAAATCACACAAGGAATTTGCACCAATTAAATTAGCATACGTGGAGTGCACAATGTTATATTTGTATTCAGTGCTGTTTTCAGCAATAGTTCCAATTTTAACGTTGTTTCCCTTATCCAAACTGTGAAATATGCATGTGAGAAATATATCTCAACATTTTCATCTTTATTTTTACAGTAATCAGAGAAAATATCATGAGATAATATATAATAAGTACTCTGATTCATTCTCTTAAAAGAGATTTTGAAAAACAAACGGGAAAAAAAATTAAGATTAACAATGATGGCAACAAAAACTAGGACAGACAGTTAGATTAATTTTACATTATGATCAAGGTAAAAATCGTGCAATGATGTGATACGCTATTTTCTGTAAACTATAATGCTTATTCTCTCTCATATATGATCTGAGTTCATGCTGTGTATAAACAAATTAATATAATGTTTTAATATATACTAATATTATGTACTTACCTAGTTTGCTTTGTTAATGCAGATATTACTCCAACTCCACGCTGATCATAGTCATCTTCATCATACCTTTCCATGGAATAACCTTCTCCATCAGAGCTATATGCGCTATTAGGTCGGCTTCTTCTTTGTCGCCGTGGCGATTCATCATCTGATGTCATGACACCATGATCACTCAGCGGCTGTAGGAAAATACAGTCAGTTGGACTTGGGCATAATGTCGATCCTTCCTACGGTCAAACAACATTTGTATGTCGACCTATGTTCAATACTATTTTTATCATTTAAACTTTTTACACACAAAAGTCAATACAAATAAAGACAGAAAATAGAGCGTCTACTGCCTGTTAAAACAGAATCTAATTTAAACATATTGCTTTTAATTTTTCTGTCATTGTTACATATCTGGGTATTTTTTATTTATTTAATTTTGATTAAGAATTTAGATAATTTTGCTGGTTTTGATGTTCATTCTACTTTCAACATTTTTTGACATATATCTTGAGATGTGGGTAATACACAAGTTAAAAGGTCAATACTGTCTTTGTGTTTCATTTACCATCATGTCTCATCTCTATGTTTTCTAATTTCATTTTTAGTGTTTCAGTACAAGTGATGTCATTATTTTATGTCATCATTTTTAGTGTTTCAGTGCAAGTGATGTCATTATTTTTAGTGTTCCAGTATTATAAGTGATGTTATTATTTTTAGTGTTTCAGTACCAATGATGTCATCATACTCAGCATTTTAGTATAAGTCACTAGTGATGTCATTAGTTTTAGTGTTTCACTACCAATGATGTCATCGTAATTAGTGTTTCAGTAAACGTGTCAAA